CGTACCAGTGTGGTTGAGGAAAACGGCATTGGTACATCCCAGTGCTGGTATGTCCAGGCCATAGGGTGCGACAACGGTTCGTCTTCAGTGTCATGTAGTTGCTTGTACAGTTCCACGGATAAGTATACAGGAGCAGCATGTTGTTGATATGTACACACTGAAACCAGGGGCATCTTACATCTATGATTTGAAGCTCATGTACGAGAAATATGTGCAGGCTGTGTCCAGGGGATGTTCGGGTAACCTCCGATATGTATCGTCGTGCAGGATCTCGGCATCGTGCATGTATCGGTCCATGTGGGCATGCAAGTGGTAGGCGAAGAACTCTGGTAGGCAATCGGTTGCCTGACTGTGGGGAATATTCAAGCTTCCGTCGAACACGAATTTTGGCTTCGTAAGGCAGATGTTTGCAGGCATCCCAGGCCTCGAGTGTGCATAAGCCCACATTGCCATGGCGCCACTGACGTCGAAAGTCCAACTTCGTGGAGAGCTCACCGAGATATATCCCCAACCATACAGCATAACCACGGACATACATGTATCGCTCCACTGTCCGCCGTTTGACCTGCATGCTGATGTTGAGACGGGTCTCGTCCTGGGCGGTCGGCAATTGGCGTTGGTGTCGAAACGGTCGTGGTCGACGCGTCTGGCCAGCTTGTGATGGTCTTAAGCCGGTTTGTGTGGGTGGGCGCAATATGTTAATGGCCAGGCATTCGTATGCTGCAATCGTCTTGGAGTCGTTCCAGGCAATAGGGATCAACGTGAAACTCCATATAGAACAATTTCGCCAAATTCTGTTTCGTGGTCGGCCGCACTGATTGCAATTCTCTTGAAACGTAGATCGGACATGCTCTCGAAATCACAGCGCGAGTCCAACAACATAACGTCGGTTGACGGTACGAACGCCTGTGGTACCACCACTGTACCATACAGAGGTCTCGGATGAAAACGCCGCATATAGTACTCCACTAGCTGTTGTTGCATCGTACTCATGCCAGAAACGGTCGAAATGTGAAACGTAAAAAATTCACCATCGTTCAGAATCTGCATTACTGTGGAGTACAGCAGCTTGCAGGAGTGGTTTGCTAGCACGTAGTGGTACTATCGGAGGTGAGGGGGTGAGATCGAAGTGGAACGGAGAACCCCCCTACCGGGAAATCGATTTCGGTTTCGTGTTCGTGCGTGCCGTGCGGGCGAGGCGAAGCTGCGTGGGCGGGCGAGAGAAAGTCTCCTGTGGCTGAGGCGCGGCCGGACCAAATGGGGCGGCCGGGGCCCGCGGTGTCCCGCCGGTGTCCCGCTGGTGTCCCGTGTGGCTGAGGCGCGGCCGGACCAAATGTCTCCCTTCCGGGCGGCCGGGGCCCGCGGTGTCCCGCCGGTGTCCCGCGGTGTCCCGCGGTGTCCCGCGGTGTCCCGCGGTGTCCCGCCAGTGTCCCGCGGTGTCCCGCGAGGATGATGATGATGAGATGATGATGATGATGATGATGATGATGATGATGATGATGATGATGATGATGATGATGATGATGATGAGGATGATGATGATGAATTTGAGGATGATGATGAGATGATGATGATGGTGTCCCGATGAAGATGATGATGATGTCAGTGATGGTGTGGATGATGATAGTGTCCCGATGATGAGGATGATGATGATCATGATGGTTATGTTGATGATGATGACGATGATGGTGTCCCGATGATGATGATGCTGATGATGATGATGATGATGATGATTCCGATGATGTTGGTGATGATGATGTTGATGGAAATGGTGTCCCGGCGATAATGATGTTGATGATGATTATGTTTCCCGCTGATGATGCTGATGATGGTGATGATGATGATGGTGATGCTGATGGTGTCCCGATGATGATAATAATGATGATAATGACGATGTCGATGATGATGTTGCTCATGATGATGATGGTGCCCCAGTGATGATGATGATGTTGTTGATGATGACGATGTCGATGATGATGATGATGATGATGATGATGATGATGATGATGATGATGATGATGACGATGATGATGATGATGATGATGATGATGTGATGATCCTGATGATGATGGTGTCCCGAGGATGATGACGATGTTGATGATAATGTTGATGATGAGCACGATGGTGATCATGACGGTGTCCCGATTATGATGATGATTCTGATGATGCTGCTGATGATGATGACGATGACTGTGTCCCGATGATGATGATGATGATGATGATGATGCTGATGATGATGATGATGATGATGATGATGATGCTGATGATGATGATGATGATGATGATGATGATGATTAGATGATGATGGTGATGACGATGATGATGTTGTCCCGATGATGATGCTGACGTTGATGATGTTGTTTATGATGATGATGATGATGATGATGATGATGATGATGATGATGATGATGATGATGATGATGATGATGATGACGGTGTCCTCATGATGATGACGATGTTGGTGATGATTTTGATGTTGATGATGTTGATGATGATGATGATGATGATGATGATGATGATGACGTTGATTGTGAGAGCGATTGTGATATCGATAGTGAGATCGATATTGAGACCGAATGTGAGATCGATTGTGTGATCTATTGTGAGATCGATTGTGAGATCAATTGTGAGATCGATCGAATGAGATAGATCGAGTGAGATCGATTGTGAGATCGATCGAGTGAGATCGATCGAGCGAGACCGATAGTGAGATCGATACTGAGATCGATAGTGAGACCGATCGAGTGAGACGTTGGTCCCCCCCCCCGAACCTCCTTAGCACCCGAAGGGTGGTCGTATAGGTAATACAGTGTTTCTTGTGTTGAAATCTGCGAGCGATTCCAAAACCATATAGTGCAGAAATATGTGCATATAGTGTCCAGGCGGTGGGCGCAGGCTTCCCAGCCATGCACCAATGTGCCAAGACACATCGTACTGAAACCCGCTTATGTAGTTGTTGTGCATGTTCGTCTCGTTGAAGTAGACATGCGGTCTCATACGCAGCAATTGCGCGTCCGCCTGTTGGTGCCTCTGTGTGACATGGTTAACTGAGAAAGTCACATTTGTGGTCCAGCAGCTGTGCCTCTGATAACGCATAGAGTAGGCGTCTGAGCTGAAGTGACGGTACATCGGGTAGGGCAGCTTGGGTACGCAGAACAGTTCTATCCATCTCAGGATTGGGAAAGACAGAATCTGCCAGGTACTCCAGATTTCGTAATAAAAGGGAGGGGGTCTCAACCCTCCCAGACGAGAAGTTTTAGACCCCCCCCCGTGGGAGAACCCTCCAAAACATCGTCCCCAGACCCCCCCAGGCCCTCCAAGATAGCCTGGAAGAGACCCCCCCCGAAATGAGACCCCCCTCCCTTTATTACGAAATCTGGAGTAGTCATGCGAGCGTTACACGCCCGCACAGTATTTCTTGTAGTCGTCAAAGAGCTCAACGGGATTTAGGCGCTGAGGCCCACAAGAAGGATTATCAGCGTGCTGCTTGGTCGAACGATGAATCTTTCGTCCGAGCGAGTCGGGTTCGAAAAACAGGCGGTCGGCCTCTGGAGCCGACGATGGCAGGTTACGCCACCCCTGCTCGCCTGGGCAAAAATGGCCATTGTGCATCATCATCGTCGTTTACCGAGCATGTTATCACGAGAGGGTGCTTGCAATGAAACTCAAAGCAAATTTGTAGAGAGCACTGCACACTGTTGGATTCAGATTCAGATTGAGAGGGAGGAAAGCAGGAGACAAGGGGTGGTAAATTTCTGACACCACTAACGAAACTGCCGGTGCTGCTGCTTCTGCTGTTGCTACTTCGATTCCCATTTTTTCTGCTACCGCTACGAGTTCCTGTCCCTCCCACCCCTTCCCGCAAGAGCGAGGATGTATCACAATACAACATGATTTGCAAGGTTTCCTGCCCCCCCCATCTGCCACGCCAGAGCGAGGAGAGCATCGGAATACCATACTATTCGCAAGACTTCCTGCCCCTTCTCACCCCTCCAGGGAGGCCCCGTTAGAGTGAGGATGGTGTCGGAACACTTTACTATTTACAAAGGTTCCTGCCCCTCCCACCCTTCCAGGGAGGACCCGCCAGAGAGAGGAGGGTATCGGAATACCATACTAGTTGCAAGGCTTCGCGCCCCTCCCACCCCTCAAGGGAGGCCCTGCCGGAGCGAGGAGGGTATCGGAATGCCATACTATTTACAAGGCTTCCTGTCCCTCCGTGAACGGCCATCATCCCGTTCCATGCTGCTGCCCTTCCTGGCCTTCGTCGGCCCTTCCATGACAATCTATGAACTTCATGGGCCTTCCTTTTTCTTCACAACTGTTGTGCCCCGTTGATCCCGCTAACCCCGTAACGTCCTTATGTGGGGAACCTCGGTAGCACAATTTTTTCAGGGACGCCTCTGGATACGACGGCGCCCAACTATTGCAGCTTGGTGATGATTCAAGAATCGATCCCTGCACCCTGCACTCAGTCTTTATGCGGCATTTCTCAAGCTGGATCGATCCGTGAGGGTCCTGGTCAGGCAGGCCTCCTAGGACAAAAACGAATCTGTCCAGAGCGTTCCAGGACGCTCTCGGAGCGTTTTGCAACGCTCTTGGGCGGACGCGGCGCCCTCAAGGCCTCAGATGGCGGCCGGCCTCTGAGGAGCCCTCCGCCTTTGCAAGAAGCCCCCCCGCCTTCCTGGAAGGCCGTCCCCTCGGTCCGCGAACCCCGACTCTCGAACCTCGGTCCTCGCTCCTCGAACCCCGATTTTCGATGCTCGATGCTTTCGATCCGCGATCCTCGAGTCTTCAAAGCGGGCTCTTCGCGGCCGGCGGCCCCCCCGATCCGCGAACCTCGATCCTCTAACCCGGGTCTTCGCTCCTCGAACCTCGATCCTCGAACCTCGATGCTCGCATCCCGATCCTCGATGCTCGATGCTTTCGACCCGCGATCCTCGTGCCTCCCAGGCGGGATCTTCGCGGCGGGCGGCTCCACCGGCACGATCGCCCTCGTGGACATGGCCGCCGGCCCCGCCCTGGGCGCGCCCCCCCTGCTGGGCCGCCGCCGCACCCCGCCCCGCGAGGATCGCGGCTAGAGGCTCGAGGCTCGAGGATCGAAATTCGAGGCTCGAGCATCGAGGATCGAGTGTCGAGGATCGTTCGAGGTTCGAGTATCGAGGATCGACGATTGACGATCGAGGTGGGAGGGGTGGTTCGAGGATCGAGGTTCGGGGGTCGAGATCCCGCTTCTGAGGAGGCATGTCGGTTTCGAGGATCGGGGTTCGAGGACCGACGTCGTCGGTCGTCGTCGTTGGTACTCTGTGCACCTGCGGAGTGTTGACGATGACGATGCCGATGCTGATGATGCTGAGGATGCTGTTGCCGCTGGTGGTGCTGCAGCTGATAATGATAATGACGATGGAGGTGATGATGATACTGATGACGCTAATGATGACGATGCTGACGCTGATGCCGATGCAGATGCTGATGCTGATGGTAATGATGATGTTGATGAAGATGATGCTGGTGCTGCTGCTGGTGCTGATGATGATGATGATGATGATGATGATGATGATGATGGTGCCGATCATGCCGACGACGATGAGGAGGATGAGGACGAGATGATGATGATGATGATGAAAATGATGATGATGATGATGATGATGATGATGATGATGTTGAATATGATGCCGATGACGATGAGATGACGATGATGATGATGATGGCGATGATGAAGATGGTGATGGTGATGCTGATGATGCTGATCATGATGATGCTGATCATGATAATGATACTGATACTGATACTGCTGATGATGCCGATGATGATACTGATGCTGATGATGATGCTATTGCTGCCGCTGGTGATGACGATGACGACGACGAGGAGGAGGACGCCGATGACGATGACGATGACGACGACGATGATGATGGTGCTGATGATGATGATGCTGCTGATGATGATGATGATGGTGATGCTGCTGCTGCTGCTGATGATGATGCTGATAATGATGATGATGATGATGATGATGATGATGATGATGATGATGATGATGATGATGATGATGATGATGATGATGATGATGATGATGATGATGATGATGATGATTACCATCATCATGGATGGTGACGATGCTTGTGGTGGTGATGATGCTGTTGCCTCTGATGATGATGATGATACGGACGCTGGATTGTGATGATGATGACGATGACGATGATGCTGATGCTGCTGTTGCAGCGGAAGCTACTTTAAGCTATCTCGGTAAGCTATTGTTATATATATATATATATAGCCCGATCTTATATTGCTGTCTTGATCCCCAGCTGCCTAAGGCCATCCGGTGTCACAAACTGAGTTGTCTTGCGCGGGTCAACTGTGCAGTGCGGAGCTTTCATCTCTGAGCCCGAAACGACCAGGCCGAACCTTAACTATGGTGACATCGGTCTAGCCGAACGGGATCGCCAGGACTGCGCCCGCGACCCCGCGGCGAGGAGACGGACGGGCGCCGACGCCGACCGCGCGCAAGCAAGGGCGCGGCAGATGTGCACAGACGCCGGCGCTGGGGGCATTACCGCCCGCAGAGAAAATGCGTGGAAGGCATGACTGCGCTGTGCGACAACATCATGGCAGTTTTTTTTTGCCTGGTTGCCTACGTCCCTAGATGATGAGCTACCCGTCGCCTGTGCCGCAGCATCCCTGCAGGCAGGATAAGGCGAGGAGGTTGGCCGCAGATGGTTTTACTTTACAACGTGCGTCCCATGACGCCCGGGGCCGGGAAGGGCTGGGTAGTCCCTCCGAGCGTGTGGCCGTGCGTCATTAGGGGGATCATGAGTGGGGGAGGCCATGCCATTTTGGGGCCCTTTGACTGGGGCTATACCCGGCCGGCTGAACGTCAGTATGATGAGCCCAGCGTTGGATGGTCCGCGCGGTGCGCGACGTCTCCAGGTGCCCGGGAAGTCGAACCGCTCAGCCAATTGCATGCTGCCAGAGGGGGGGGGGGTCCGTCGAGGATTTCTGGCCGCGAGCAGAATTCCAGAGGGCCCCGCGCCCAAGACGCGCGAAACGAGGGCAGTGGCGCCAACCGACTGCGTCGGGGCCAGTGCCTCTTCTCGCGAGCCATCTGCCAAGTGTGCAGAGAGGTCGAATTCTGCGACGCCCAAGGGCCGCGCTACGGCAGCGAGAACGTCGGGCGACGCCAGGTGCAAGGGCGAGGAGAACGAGAGCGACGGCAAGGGGGCGAAGAGGCCAAGCAGTCGCGCGCCAGATGGGCAACGAGAATCCAGGCGGCGCCGAGCTGAGCGCCCGACGCAGTGGGGCACGTCCTACAGCGCGGGGTTTGCCTCTTCAAGTTCCGCGCCTGCCTGCTGCCGGAGATTTCCGCGCGGGCGGTCCCTGGCGCGTCGAGGCGGGTGCCGCGCGGCGCCGCGCGGGGGATGCCCGCTCGCGGCGCGCGCATGCCGACGCGGGGCAGCAGACTGCGGACCCCCCCTCCGTGGCAGCCGGAGACACGGCGGTTGTCCTGGAGTTGGGGCTCAGACAACTGGCGCGATGACAGCTGGGGCCGCGATGGTCGTTGTTCGAGGTGGGGGAATGATAGCGAAGAGGAAAACGCGGCTATGCCGAAAGTGCCCTCTCGAGACAACGCCGCGGCGCAAGTGCGTCCACGATGGATGATATGAGCCGCCTAGCGCACAGGTGCCATGCACCGCGCGTCTTAGCGGGTGCCGAGCCAGGCAGCGGGGGCGCTGCCTGCCGGACGCTGCGTAACAGGACGCTTTTGACACACATCCGGGGCGTTGACAGATCGCTGGCGCCAGCCCGCGCGAGCGGGGCTTGCCGGGTAGGCCGCGGGGGGAGTTGATTTAGTCGCCCCTTTGCGCGCCTCGGCAACACTAACAGTTGCATGCCTGCAGCTTGTTTGGGTGAGATAGCAAAAGGGCGCCCCGCCCTGCCGCGCGCCCGGCTGCCCAGGTCTCGTCTGTCTGTCGTAGTCACACGCTTGATGGCCCCAAAACACACTTCTCGCCATGGCAACAGGAAGTGCATCTCCAATCCACCAATTGAACCTGGGCAAGAGACTGTTACAGGATGTTCATGAAGAAGAAGAAGAAGAACAACAATATTAGCAATGACGCATTCTGCCGACCGGTTGGGCTACGAAAGCTCCCGCCCCACGGTGAATTGGCAACGCATTCGGTTGTTGATTCTGTGGCGCAGCGGTGAATCAATCGACTTCTCCCGATGAACAGCGGTTATGTGTAGGAGTCTGGAAGGATCTGTTCATAGACGGGTCCTGTACTCGCCATGCTGTTCGTCAAGGAGCTCGAGCGGCAGCGTGCGTGGTCGACTCCACCGGGGAGTTGTCGTCGGAGTTCGGGGCCCCCGTTTGGTGCATTCGCCCCCGGGCCCCCTAAGGAGCAGATTTCAGCGCCTTCACTTGGGCTGCCGTTTTCCTTCGGGGCCCCGGGATCTCGTCGCTGTAGTTGTTGTTTAGCACAGCGGCTCGTGCAAGTATCGAACAAGTGTTTCCTAAGCGATGTGCTCTTGTGCTCTCGTTCTGTGTTCTGCCCGGGAGCGCGTTCCTACATTGCGCCGAGGTCTCGTCTCATCGCCCCGCAGGTGGCCCGCGCACTGATGCTCGCGAGCGCTGGTTTAAGACCGGTGGCAATCGCGGCGATGTAGGGGCCAATCTAGCTGTGCGCTTGCATCCTTAGCCTGCCGAGTTTCTTCTCAACTAAGCTGACGAGCAGGTCTCTCGAGCCAGGGCAGCCCCGAAGTTGGCTGCCTCGGCCGAGTGTTGCGTTTCATTGCCCCCCCCCCTGGGCTTCGCTGGTGCCTTTCGGGGGGGTCCAGTGCTTCACGTCGTTTCTAGGGTCTAGGGTCAGTCACCGCTGGCAGCAGTGTGCTGGGATTTGGCGGTGCGCCGTATGTCTCAGGGGCGGCCGTGGTATTTCCAGGCCCCACGTTGGACTTTGCCATCAGGCCTCGAATCTTCAGGCGTCGGAGTTGGGCGGGCTCGGACATTGTAAGATTGTTTTCGATTGCTTTGGCCATGCAGTATTTTTCATTTGTACTAGGTGTACGTGTCAGTCCTCAGGCGCCTCCGTCCGTGGTCTCGCCTCGACGTGCGTCGCGCCTCCCACTCGCTCTGCCCATTCTGTTTGGGGAGCCCTTTGTAAAAAGGCAGGTGCCGCAGTACAGTCGGCAGAAACTTGCGGTGACCGTTGATGCTTGCTCGCTTGTGCATTTGTTCGACATTTATGTTGCTGACACGCCTGGCACCGACTCAGCTTCTAGTGGTGCTGGCGGTGGAACCCCCGTGATGCTGGAGGCCCAGCTGCTGGAGCGAGTCCCTTCTACCTTACGGGAGGATAACGACGAACCGTTTATGCCCCCATCGGCGCCCGCAGCCAGAGTGAGGAGTTTGAGTCACTCCTTTTTTATCAGCTGCGTTTCCCACTGTTGCAGTTGTGGTGACCTGAAGCTGTGAGGCAGTTGGAAAGGTTGGGCGTGGAACACAACAATATCCTACCTCCATCCTTCTCTCCCTGCTGATGCTGCTGCTGCTGCTGCCGCTCCTCCTCCTTCTCCTCCTCCTCCTCCTCCTCCCTCCTCGTCTTCCCCTTTCTGCTCCCTCTTCCTGCTTCTCCTGCTCCTCTTGCTCCCCCTTCGGCTTCGATTTTCCGAAGATCCGACGCGGTCCGTTGTGCATCCTGACTTTGTCGATTCGATCTGGTTTTGATTTCGCGCAGATGCGCCCAGTCCGACGCCCGGTCGGTTCCGATCCGACTTGGCGACCCGAGACTGACCGCGTTTGGGCAGGTACAATGCTGTCAGGACACTACGCCTCCGTCGCCTCCATGGCCTTCCATCGCAGAGAGGTGCTCGTAACCGTGGGCGCAGACTCCTGGGTGCCGCTTTCGCAGCCCTCCTGCGCCGCCCGCCCCGCCGCTTCCGCTGCCACCGCCGCCACCCTGGTCCCCCCCCCCACCCCCCCCGTCGCCGCCCCCGCCTGCGCTCTGCCCGGCAGCTGTCTCTCCCGCCTCCAGGCCCGCCGAAGGCTGGAAGGAAGGTTGGGAACGGGGGCGGCAGTACTCTAGAGCTGTTCCTGCCTCGGAATGCGCTCCAGCGGCTGCGCCTCGCCGAGAGCGTTCCGGGGGTGCCCGGGACTTATCGAGCGGCAGCTTGAGATCCGAGTCAGGTCCTGACGGTCAAGCGACGAGGATCATCAATGATGTCCGCCGTTCGGTTGGTTCGGTTAATTACGTCGCAGTGTGCGGTCGGTTGGGTGCGATCGGTTGTCGTGTTGTTGCCGCGTCGCCAGCGCCGTTCTCGGCTGCCTGCGGCCTGTCGGTTCTTTTTTAGGGGTCGGTCGGTCGGTTGTCAGTTGCTGTCGCCAGGGACGGCCTGGGATGGAAATCAGGTTTTGCGACCACCTGCGACGCGATCCCTACCTTCTGCGGGTCCATTCGACTCTGCCCCGCTGGGTTACACATGGCTTCAGACATCCGTCGAATTCTTGACACTTGGTGCAACTATCCCAGCCAGCCCATCATGAAACGATCGCCAGGCGAGTTGCCCTGATCAGGGAAGCGTAGGAGCATCTAGTTCTGAATTGCCTGGTAAGTGAGCCGTCAAGCCCAAACTTGTGATCAATCTGAGCATACCCAGGAGTGGAAGTGCTGACCCTGCCGTCGAAGAAGGATGAGGAGGAAGTGGAAACAGACGTGGAGAACGAGGAGGTGGAGATGGACATGAAGACAATGCAGGTGGGAGGAGGAGGAGGCGGAGGAGGAAGAGGGGTAGGAACAGCAATACCAGCAATACACAAGAGAAATCTGCATATACATAAGACTAATAACCTCAGCACTAATAATAGTGATGAGCTCCTAAGACGAATACCACTAATATTAAGACAATGACTAATAACTCAAATCCAGAAGTTTAGCGACACGTGATACTATTAACACGAACGCGAATCATAGCACGAAAACCATTGTGAGCACCACTTGTAGGAATACAATTAGTATTCCTAATCGGGAGATCAACACAACTACGATTGTTTTTATCATTATTTATAGACTCCTGCTTTGAATACTCAGAAGACGCCGACAACTATTACACCATCCCTAACAATATTATTCTGCAAACCAATAAGCCTAGTGACAAAGGCTGAAATTAATAAGACGAGTAACAATTGTCATAATACGAACTTTGAGAATAGTACTAACATTAATAAGACGTGCGAATGATACTACTACGAACACCATTGACACAACTGATACGACTAATATAGGCATTACACATCATAAGTAAAAAACAAATAATACGAACACAAAGACAATCTGATGCTGAAAAGAAGATGAGGGGAGGAAGGGCAGGAAGAGTAGTAGGAGGAAAAGGTGGAAGAGGCGCCCCCAAGGGGTGATCTAGGTGCGGTCTGCCGTCTCAGGTCCATCGGGGACCCAGCGTTCTGGTGCCGTGCGGGTTGCCCCCCAGGGCTGGCGCTGACTGCTTCTCTAGTCTGCGTTGGCCTGCGCAGTGCCAGCCTGTGCGGGGCTGACTCTGGCCACTGTTGGTGCCCGCCCCTGACATCGGGGTGTTGGGTGTGGCCGGGGGGTCGGCTCTCTTGAGGAGTACGGCTCAATCTTTGTACCACCTTGCCCCCCTTGCGCAAAGAGGTCTGCAGGGGTGGGCCCGGCCATCCGCGCGCCCTCCCGCGCCGGTTGCTCCGCCCGGTGGCCCGTTAGGAGTGGCCAGGGCCGTGAATGTTCAGGTTGAAATGCCGACTCGCGTCCTGGCCTTGCTCTCCCAGCTCCCTGGCACAAAGTTTATAATTGTTCTCCGTGGGGGCGTTCGAGTGTTGTCGTGGGTAGAGACTGCATGGTGCTTTCTCTAGGCCGCCTCGAGTTGTTTTCGGAAACGTCCCAGGGATTTTTACGAGATGTGCTCATCTGATGGGAACTTTAATGTTGGCTGGTAGGGTAGTGGGTCGTGGGGCTCGTTGCGGACCCCCGCAGACCTCGCGGGACACCGCCCCCCGCTGCATTGCCGAGGGGGTGGGGTTTGGCGGGGGGGCAGGCCTTGAAAGGGGCTGCGAGGAGCCTTGGGGTATCCTTGCCAGGTCGCCCTCCGGGTGGGAGGGCTTGGAGCTCGACGGCGCGTGTCTCCGTGCGGCGCGATGCTTGCGTGGTGCAAAGTTTTCTTGGAGCTGGCGGCCTTCGTTGCTCCAAGATCCCAGGCTCAGCATGCTCATCAGCCTTTCCCCCGAGGTCAGGCTTATGCGTTTTCAGTCGGCCGTGTTTCCGACGCTCTCGCTGAGCTGCGCTCGACCTTGTTGGCTGCCAGTGCCGTATCTTGAACATTTGAACCGCAGTCTCACTCTCATATAGCGGCCGCATTGATTGCTGCCTTGCTGCTGTGACCGCCTCAGCTGTCTCTTCGCGCTGTGCCCGCATTCCTCTTGGGAATGCATGGTTCGGGGTGGGCGCTGTCATCTATATCCCCATCCCGACCTGTGCTCATCGTTGGGTTGATGTTGGCTACCGCTGCTTCTCTTTTCTTTTCTCTGCCGTGCCGCCTCTCTCACCGCTGACGCTTGCATGCGTGAGAATTTCAAGCGTTCGCCTGCAGGGAATTCGGAAGAAAGGGCGAAGGAAATAAACTATCAGGAGGGAGAGCATGGAAAAGGAACGGGGCGAGGAAGAGGACGACGACGTCATTAATGCACGACGAAACGGGGCAGGAGTAGGACAATGAAGAGGAGACGAGGAGGAGGAGGAGGAGGAGGAGGAGGAGGAGGAGGAGGAGGAGGAGGAGGAGGAGGAGGAGGAGGAAAGGGGGAGGAGGGGGAGGATGAGGAGGAGGAGGAAGAGGAGGGGGAAGAGGAGGAGGAGGAAGGGGAGGAGGACGAGGAGGAGGAGGAAGAGGAGGAGGACGAGGATGAGGAGGAGGAGGAGGAGGAGGTCAATCGGAGGAGGGGGAGGAGGAAGAGGAAGCGGAGCAGGAAGAGGGGGGAGGAGGAGGAGGAGGAGGAGGGTGGAGGAGGAGGAAGAGCAGGAGGAGGAAAAGGAGGAGGAGGAGGAGGCGGGGGAGGAGGAGGGGGAGGAACAGGAGGAGGAGGAGGAAGAGGAGGAAGAGGAGGAGGAGGAAGAGGAGGAGGAGGAGGAGGAGGCTATTTCAAGGATCGGCTCGAATCGTACGGGGTCAACGTTTCCTACTGCCCGCTGGACGCGCATTGGCAGATCGGGACCGTCGAAAGGCATAACGCGTCATGGAGGTGGATTTGGAATCGGACCTGCGACGCCTGCGCCGTGAAAGCCGCCGAGGAGGTCGACATGGCCGCAATTGCCGTCAGCGAAGCCAAGAACAATGCCGTTCGTCGGGCTGGGCGCTCCGCCAACCAGTGCGCCCTGGGAAGGACTCCTCGTATTCCTGGTGAGCTGCTGTTCGGCGATCACGGCCTTGCAGTCGCCGCCAACGCCGCTAACTCGCAGCACGTGATGAACAACGACTTCTACCGCATGGAGGCCAGCATTCACACGGCCCACTTCAACTACGAGCAGCACGTGAGGAAGTCGCTCCTCAGGAAGACCAGCCACCTGCGCTACGACCTCGACAAGCTCGTTGCAGGCCAGCAGGTTGGATGCTGGCGCCGGGGCGCTCAGAAGCGCCCTAGCGGCAAGTCGTCGCGCCCGGGCTTCGTCACCGGCACCTTCTTGCAGTGGGACGGCGGACAACAAGGACATGGACTTGGCCGCAACGCTTGGGTCAGAGCCGGTCAGACCATCAACTTGTTCAGCCGCGAACAGCTTCGACCAGCCATTGGTTTCGAGCAGTGGGTACCTGGCGCCGAGGACATTGAGTTTCCCAAGAGCAGCTACGACCTCATGAGGGACGACCTCTGGGAGGACGAGCGAGACGCCGGGCCCGAACCCGACGACCTTGCGGAGGAGGCCGACGTCTTCGTTGACGACGGTCGCAACATTCTTCCAGGCCGCGAAGGACTTCTGCCTCGACAGCCTGCCGATGCCGATTTTCCTGGAGCTCCGCCTGTTCCAGCCGAGCCGCCGCCAGCTGCGGCGGCCCCGCCTCGGCCAGTGGCGATCCAGTCCGAGCCGACGCCGATCGAGACCGAGATTCCAGGCATGACCCCCGCGGACGCGGAGGTCACTCAGGCTATCGACTCCGCCTCCGCCGAGCCGAACGCGATCGAGACCGATCCGAAGGTCAGCATTCCCAGGTCGCCTCGCAGCCGAGCTGCCGAACACGAACTACCTCCAGATGCCGACCCTCCAGACGAGAAGAGGCCCCGCGTGTCTACCTTGTGCGCACAGGCTTGGCTGACTTCCTTCTGGGCCACCGAGGTCGGGGACGGCGCCGACGGCTCCGACGAGATGCCCGCCGTGCTCGCCAACGCTAGCCGCTGCGCCGACTACGCTCACGAGATGGAGACCACCTACCAGGTGAACGCCATTGTCGCCGACGATGGACCCACGCCCCACTTAGCGCCCGACTCCGAGGACGACGAGCCTGCCGACCAGAACCAGCCCACCATGACCAGAGCCGTGCGGAAGGCCTACGACCGCGATATACCATGGCGCGAGATCATGAGCATGGACGGCTCCACCATCCAGTGCTTCCTGCAGGCCACCCGCAAGGAGTGCAGCAACTGGGTCATGTGGGCGCCGATGGTCGCAGCGCCAGACGACGCCGCCAAGGACATGCTCAACTCGCCCGAGATCCGCAAGAGCTGCATCAGGGCGCGATGCTGGTATCGTGACAAGAACTGCGGCCAAGGAGATCTTGCCGCTAAGTGTCGGGGAGTCGCCGTTGGTTGCAGCGACCCGAGGCTCGAGGCGCTCGAGCGGAGGTCTTCCACTACGCAGCGCATCGGCTTCTTCGCAGCCTG